GTTGGGTTTGAGGGGAGAGAGAAAAAGAGGGCAACCTGGTGAGAGATAAGGCCAAAGAGTTTAGGTCATTCAGAGCTTGAATGCTATACTTAGAAATTAATTTGAGGGCAGTGGAGAGAGCCACTGAAGACTTTTTGGTAAGGGAATGATGTGATCAAATTGTGTTTAAAAGGTTATTTTTGACATCAGTATAGAGGTTAAATTGGAGACGGCCAGACTGGGTGGGAACAAAGGTTGGTTAATAAATCTTTGCAGTAGACCTGTAGAGAGGTGATGAGGACGTGAATCAGAGCAGCGGTGAGGATGAAGAGAAAGCTGAGCAGGGAAAAGGGAAAGATATAATAGATGTTAAGGAGCCTAATATGATGAGTGAATGGTGGTGCCATTGTGTGAGAGACTGAGGATGATGATAACGATTTCCATTTTTGAAATGTTGAATTAGAAGTGCTTGCAAAATAAGCATGAAGAGATGTCCAATAGGCAACTGGAATTTGGGCTAGAGATACATATTTGGTAGTCATCTGCTTGCGTATAGTAATTGGACCACAGGAGTGGGTGGGATTGCTCAGGGAAGGCAGGTGGAGAAATGAGAAGGAAGAAGAAAACCAGTAACAGGTAGTGTCTCAAAAAGCAGTGGAAGAGAATATTTCAGAATGAAGAAAGCAGTGTCAGATGCTATTGAAGGATCGAGTCCATGAGCTTGGAGAAGGTCCATTGGTTCGACAAATAGAGGACTCTGCGAGATTTCTGTGTCTTTAGTTCTCATATATAAAGCTGGATCAATAGTGCCTTTCTTGGGGAGAGAAGAGGATAAGGTTGGGAGCAGATAGAAGGATCTCTGTTCCAAAGCAGCCTGAATGCACCTCTATTACAGCACAGCTCGCACTGTTAGGATTGCTTACAGGTTGAGCCCACCCACAGCATTGTGAGCTGGACTGCATAAGCACACCCAGTCCCACCACTCAGAAGAGACTCACTAATAATTTCATTGTCAATTCTTTTAGACTTTTCCCTCTGCAAATAAACACATATGTGTTTATATGTGTACACAAGTGTAATTAAAAAAAATACTGGCTCATACAGTGCATGTTCCTCTGAGAACCTGTTTTTTCCACTTAACTGAATAAATTAATCATCTTTCTGTGTTACTATATGCTGAGCTATTAATATTTGCAAAATATTTATTGTTTGAATGGACTATAATTTATTTAACCAAGTGAATCTTTAATGATGAGCTTCTAGGTTGGTTTAGCTTTTCACTATCACAAACGGTGCTGGAATTAACATTTTTGTACATATATCTTCTTTGCACACCTTGGTGCAAGGTGAGTGTAGGTTTAATTCCAGGGCCTGGGTCTTTTCCATCTCTGTACCATCAGTACCAAGCATAAAGAAGGTGCTTTGCAAAAGTATTAAAATGACCAGAATTCAGGTCTTGAGGTCTTCCAATGACTTATTTATCTTTGTGTTTTTAGCATCTATAACAGTGACCAACAAAATTTTGCTTGCTAAATGAATAATCTCAAGAATATAGAGAACTCTGCTCAGAAAAGTATTGAGTAGTAGCCAGCTTTTAAGTGATGTGTGTATTTTAGAACACCTCATAAGCATTGTCAGCTAGGAAGCACCCGGAGACATTTATTCTGAGTGTTTTGCATATTTCTCTTCCTCTCCTGGAGATGAGTGTTGATGTATTCCTTTCCCTGGGCAATGGAATGGCTAGATGAAATTTCTAGGTAGATAATTGCTTAGAGTGAGAAGTTAAAGAGTCTTGTCTTCCCTTCAGAATTATATTTCTTTTTCACCTGCAGGATGCCCTTCACAGACTCTTAAAAGCAGGAGCATATTCTTGTTCAGCCCTGCATGACTAGTGCCTACGATACAGAGATGGGCCTTCAGCAAATGTAGAGGGTAAGGGAATCATTAAGTGTTAGGCTATATGGTTGGCATTAGCTGATAAACTTTTTAAATGGTTTTGACCATTTCCCCAAATTTAAATCCTTTTTCTGCTTCCTTTTGTTCAATGATGACTCTTTTTAGTATATATTGAATTCTTGTATATAATGTTGTCTATTCCTGTGCTTCATTTTTTTATTCATTAGGTTTATTTTCTGGTGTTAGTTTATATAATTTTAACTATTGTTGTTTTATAATATGTCCTAATCTTCTATATGTATAAAAGGCTAATATGCAAAGTGTCCCCTTGGAAGTTTGACCAGGAATCTGGGAGTTTGATCCCATCAGAGGAAGGCCCTGGCCAGCAGCCAGAAGGCCCCTATTGGCCTTGATCTCCAGCCAGGCCTAGGGACCTTACCTGTACATCGGGCCTCTAGTATCTTATAAAGCTACCTGCTGGATAATTCCTCTTTTTCAAAATAGTATTTTAGACTTTTACCCATTTATATCTATACTAATAAAAGAGTAATATGCTAATTAGGCAGACATCTTCCAACGACCATCCAGACAAAGCCACAGCAGCTGCCTGAGCCTCAGGCAAGATGTGGATGACGGGTTGCGGATGGCACATGGCGGATGGCGCATAGCACATGGCAGATGGCAGCTGCTACTGTGAGGGCCGACCCAAGACTCAGGCAGCCACTCCCCACTGCGAGGCATGAGGCTCAGGCAGCTGTGCGCACGCTGCAAGGCACATGGTGGCTGCCAGTGACAGCAGCAGCAGGGTGATGGGGGTGGCACCTTCTCCTGATAGGCCAGGTTGCCTCTGGCAGAGGGATGCCAGATTGTGGCTTAGGCTGGGGGCCAAGGCAGAGGTGGTTAGGGGCGATCAGGCCGGCAGGGGGACAAGATAGGGACGGTCAGGCCCACAGGCAGGCAGAGGCAGTTAGAGGTGATCAGGCAGGCAGGCAGAGGGGTTCGGGGCCATCAGGCAGGCAGGTGAGCGATTAGGAGCCAGCGGTCCTGGATTGTGAGAGCTAAACCAGCAGTCAGACATCCCCCGAGGGGTCCCAAATTGAAGAGGATGCAGGCTGGGCTGAGGTAACTTCCTTCCCCTTGCACAAATTTCATGTACCGGGCCTCTAGTTTCTATACTAAGTCTAGAAATATTGGTTGTCTTCTAATACAAACAGATTACATTACATTTACAAATTAGCTTCAGTATTGGCATTGTTTTACTAACTTTTCATCATCTAATATAGTAGTTTTCCCCTTGTTTTACATGTTTTAGTAAAAATATGTTATTCTTCATGTGGGCTTGTCTCTCCACAACATTTATCGAACCCATTCTTCTGATCCCTAGCTCCTGCCATGGTGCTGTCTGCTAGAGGTACAGAAGTGAACAAATCACAGTTCTTCCCCTCAAGGAGCTCTCTTTGGTGGACAAGAGAGATAACTGGTCTAATTGCAACTAATTATAATAATCATTGTGATAAAAACCCAAGGTGCTAAGGAAGCACAGTGAGGCATACAACCAAGCCTAGGGGTGTTAAAGAAGACTTCCTGTACTGAGTCTGAAAGACAGAATGGAAGTTAACCAGATGAAGGGGAAGAAAGAGGATTCCAGGCAGACAGAATGTTTATTGGAAAATATGTTCAAAAGTAGAGATTTTCAAAATATTGAAGTGTTTTAGGAGCTGCAAGTAGCTGGAGTATAGATGACAGAGGGATGGTAGCTGGAAATGAAGCTAGAAAGCAGGTGGGAGGGTGGCAGATGATCGAAGGGACTTGTGTGACAAGACATGAATTTGGATATAGAATTGAAAGATTTAAGTAGAGCAGTGAAATGATCAGGTCTATGTTTTAGAAAAAAAAAAAAGTCCCTAAAAGAGAAAATAATAAAGTTAAATAAAGACCTTTCTGGCTATTGTAGAAGATGGCATTAAGGGGCTCCAAATGTATTGCATTTGGTAGTTTGGACTCAAAAGCCTCTTTTAATCTAAAGCATTCTGTGACCTTGTTCCCCTTTTTTAAAAATGCCATTGACTATTATAGAAACCAGGTCTGTTGTCCTGTAGAATGTGCCACATTCTGAATCTGTTTCCTCATACTATAACCTATTCCTCTGCCTCTCATATTTTCTATAAACTGGAAGTTAGCATTGAATAATTCTATGGATTCTGGTTCATCTTTTCTCTGGAAGGAGGGACAAGAATATTTCATAGGGCTGTGAAATGCTACCTGTGTCTGATGGTGCCACAGTCAGGGATGCTAATGGATCAGTGGTTCAGGTCATGACAGCTCATTCCTCCATTATAAATTTCCCTATCAACCTTTTATTGAATGAATTGATCTACTGATGATTAGCACCTGAGTGAATTATTTCATCATGGGCTACCTTTTTTTTTTTTTTTTTTTTTTTTTTTTTTTTTTTTAGTTCTGTCAATCTTTTTACATTTATTAGCTGAATAAAGAACATTTCCTTGCCCTAGCCAGTTTGGCTCAGCAGATAAAATGTCAACCCATGGACTGATCGAGGATTTGATTCTGGTCAAGGGCATGAATCTTGGTTGCAGGCTCAATCCCCACCCTGGTCAGGGCATGTGCGGGAGGCAACTAATCAATGTGTCTCTCTCACATCGATATTTCTCTCTCTGACTCTCCCCCTCCCATTCACTCTTTAAAGATTCAATGGAAAATATCCTTGGATGAGGACTAACAACAACAAAAACAAAAAACATTTCCTCAATACCTAGAGCTATTTGGTTGTTCTGAAAAATATGTACCAAAAGATAAGAAAAATGCTTAATTCACTTTCTTGCAATTTTTAGATTAAGGAGTTGGTACCTTAGTTGTTTTGTTTTAAGTATCTTTTGGTCGTGTTTCTATTTTATGACTTAAGACATTGGCTAGTCCAGTGATTCTCCCTCAGTGATTATCTTGTAAACCCAGCCTTTGAGAAATTGTCTTCATTTGCACAGAGCCTTAAGATCCTTAGGAATGGGAATGGCTTTCTAAGTGCCGTACACACATCAGTCCATCTAGTCCTGTACTTTTCAGAAGACAGAACCACCTTTCCTTTGGTTTCTCTTCTCTTGCTCCAGGTCACACAGTGAATAAGATGTGTCAACACTCAGATTCAGAAGTGGCTTGTCTTGCCAAAGAAGTTTACACTGAGTGGAGAACTTTCATTGAGAAACATGCAAATAGACCTTCTATTGAAGTTCGAAGTGATTCCAAAACCGAGGCGCTTAGGAAAAACGCCCAGAAATTACTCTCAGAAGCGCTGGAATTAGAGGTAATGTCTGGTTATAATGTAATTATTAGGAGTTCTTGGTTAAATGAGCCTCACATTTTCAAAATGAACTTTCATAGTGTTGGTGCTGTGGCTTTATTCTGTTTTTTTCTTTAAGAGTTCTGGATTTGTAATCATTCTGGGAGACGGTGTTGTAGAAAGAAACTAGCAAACCTGAAGTAAAACCCTGGCTCTAGTACGGACCGTACTAGCTGTGGCACCTTAGGCAAATCTTTTAACACGAGGCTTGATTTTTTTTAAGTGTAAAATGATTATTGTTCCTACCATCTAAGGTTATTGGAAAGAGTAAATGGACTCTTTATATACAAAAGAATAGTATAGTGCCTGGTGATTACAAGTCACTTAGTGAATGTTGGCTCCTTCCATTTATTTTATTTTTATTAAATATATATTTATTAATTTCAGAGAAGAAGGGAGAGGAAGAGAAAGATAAAAATATTAATGATGAGAGAGAATCATTATTCACTGCCTCCTACATACCCTCCACTGGGGATCGAGCCTGCAACCTGGGCTTGTGCGCTGACTAGGAATCGAACCTTGACCTCCTGGTTCGTGGTCAACACTCAACTGCTGAGCCATGCTGGCTTGGTGGACTCCTTCCGTTTAAAATTTGTTCTCTTCCCACTGAAGCAAAAATTCTGGCATGGACTCTCTCTCTTAGGAAATATCAATGGCAAAAGAAATAGCTGTCTATTGAAAATATTCTAATCCCCCATTTTTTTTGTCCACATTCTAAAGCATATAGTCAGTTGGCTAGACCTAATTCCTACATCTTCATAGCCAACAGTTCAGGTGACAATAGGCTTGAGGTACACATGCTAGAAGGATTTTTGCTCATTAACAATAATATTAATCACCATCATCAAACAAATTTTATATGTCAATTTATACTCTGGAAAAATCAGACATATAACATTTATATATTTTCTCCTTTTTAGGGTATCCCTATCAAAATTTCTTTAAGAATAATTTAATATTATTAACAAAGAAGCAATGCAGAAGTCTGATTTAAATGCTTGATCTGTTACTATATTCTCTGAGAAAATATTTTAGCCTTTCTGTCTCAATTATGCATCCACAAAAGAAGGGCAAATGAACTCATGGTATATTATTTACTTTTTAGAATACAGTTTTGGATTTTTAAATACACACTTAGAAAATGTGAAAAACATAGAGAGGAAAAATAAGATCACCATTGAACTTACCACCCAGATATAATCTTGTTAGCATTTTGGTGCATTTTCTGTTGGTAAGTTATTATAACTTTTTAAATGAATGCTATAATATGATTTTCCCAGGTTATTAAGAGCCATTATATGCCAAATGTTCCATAAGATAGTTTTATTGATTATTTAAACAACATTGCAGAAAATTAACAATAATTTACATTTATGTTGTCTTTTTCATCTTGATCAATATCAGTATAATTTTGTATATCCTTTTCTGTATATGGTTATTTTTTCATTTTTATAATTATCAGTGTTATTTGATAGCTCAGCAAATTGCTATGCTGTTAAGTTTGCTTTGCTTTTCCTAAAGGAAACTTTAATATGAATATTAAGCCCTTGGAAGAGAAAAAAAAAAATGAAGGTTGTAAGTCTAAATAAATAACTTTCCAGAATATTGATTAGCCAACAAGACTTGCTATTTGATATTTTAAATAAAGTTTATTTTTTAAATCAAAATTATTACAAAAACATAGAGTTTGGTTATATAATATGTAGTTAATGTGGTGGTAAATTCCAGTTCCCTGTGGCATCTTTTTAAGTAAATGATAATAACAAAGCAATGCTTATAAGGATTAATGAGCAGTTTGCCTACTATATTAAACTCCATAATAATTATCCTTTTAGTTTATCCATTAATTATCCTTTAAATGGCACATCAAGTGGTAAGCACTCAAGTGTTTCAAAGTTAAAAAAGTGATAAATTCGTTAGTGCTTTCCAACATAATTGGAAAAAATATCAGATTAAGCATAGTTGAGTGGTTTTGTTCCCAAAGAGTAAATTTTAAAAATTAAAAGTATACATCTTGCCGAAATCGGTTTGGCTCAGTGGATAGAGCGTTGGCCTGCGGACTGAAGGGTCCCGGGTTCGATTCCGGTCCAGGGAGTGTACCTTGGTTGCAAGCACATCCCCAGTGGGGGATGTGCAGAAGGCAACTGGTCGATGTTTCTCTCTCATCAATCTATCCCTCTCCCTTCCTCTCTGTAAAAAATCAATTTTATATATATATATATATATATATATATATATATATATATATATATATATATATAAAATAATAATAATAAAAGTATGCATCTTTCTTTCTTCCTTGGCAAAAATAAATAAATAAAAGAATCAATCTGGGTTTTTTTTTGCATAAACAGTATTTGATAATAATTTGATCAGTTTGATATATTTAAGAATTATAAACACTTTTTGCATAAAAGTTAACTCTTAGCACCTATTATCATCTGAAACATTACCATATTAGGGTAAATAAGTGACCCATCTAACTCAGTATTTGGTCTTTGACAGTAACCAATGTTGAGTGCATTCAAATCAGACATCCAGTCTCCACAAATGTACTTTATCAGGCAGTAGTAAACCATTGGATAAATTATTGACCCAGTGACTAAAAAGCCTTTACAATTTGATCCTACCATTACATTTTTTGTAGAAAATAAATGTTTTCATGTTATTTGTTTTGGTTATATTCTTTTGTAGTGAAAGCCATAGTTGAGGAATATACATACACAGCCAGATGTATCTCTTTATTACTGTATAGATCTTGCTTTCCAGATTCATAGATTGTTTCCTTGTTCTTGGAATAATGGAATAGATGAATAAAAACTCCATTGTTGAGACCCTGGCTCCATTCCCCTTTACTTTTTCCCTTCCGGATCTTCTTTGTTCTTCCCTGCATTTTAGATCTTTCCTCATATGAACATCCCCTGTGGTGTCATTCTCTTACTTCCCCTTCCTCATTATCCACTCTCCTTCCTACCTCATGGCCTGTGATCATTTTCCTATTATGTCATTAAAAAAAATGAACCTGATTCTCAAAGTGAACCTGTATCATTAAGAGTTATGAAACACTGGCTGTTTGGCCCAGTTGGTTGTCAGATGGTGCTAATGAGATCCAGGTCAGGGGTACGTCCCCATATGGGACTGTTAGTTTTTTCTTTGTTTAATGGCCTCAGACTGCACCTCTGGCTTTGACCGGCTCTTTCATAAATGTATTTAAGTGGCCCAAAAGGAGTGTGGTTAGATAGGTACAAACCCAATCATGCTCTGTGTGCTAAAACTCATACCAAGTTTGCTTCCAGTGGATATTCAATTCAACAAATGTTTAGCACTACTACTACTAGTGTCAGGGAGAATGCAAACATAAGTGAGTTGCATTCCCTATCTTAAGAAAGCTTACAGTCTCCTGGCTGAGAGCCTGTAAAAGACTAATAGAAGGCAAGATGAAATATATCTGAAATGGGTACAAGCCAATGATGCAGACACACAAAGGACAGTATATGAAATCTAATAGGGGAATCTGGGAAGGTTTTATGGAAGAGATGGCAATTGAATTGGCCTTTTTCAAGAGGGGGAAGATTTTGCTAACTTGAAAATACATATAAAATAGAAACATTATATTTCCTATCTTATTTGCTATGTTATTGAAAGAGCAGGAAAGGAGGGAGGTTACATGGGGGTAGGGGGAGGACATTCATTTAATGAATATTTACTGAGCCCTTACCATGTGCTTGTATCTATGCTAGGCATGGGGAATTTAGAAATGGATCCAGCACAGTATCATCCCCAAAAGGGCTTACAGGCTTCTGAGACAAATAAACAGTTACAGTACATCGTGGGAAGTTCTGCATTTGAGGTACACACATAAAAAAGACCTGTTCCCTTACTTTCAAAGGGCTTACAGATGTGGCAGACATCACTAATTGATTATGGCACCATTTCCCACTGAGGCCAGAATCCTTGATGAAAAAGCTCTAGGTGGTCATGTTTTATTCTAGGTGGTCATGTTTTATATCTTCTCCCAGCTATAACCAATTTGTCCAGAATTGGACAACTGAATAACTCACAGGTACAAATAGATAGGGAAGTAAATCAGATTCTCTGTCTCTGAGACATGTGAACTAGGAAATGCTAAGAAAACAACAGTGGGAGTGTTGGAGCAGATGTTGGAGGAGTTATGAGGAAGCAGAAACCATGGGTAGAAATGTGTAGAATATGGGGAGAGAATAAGGCAGTTAGAATTAGTAGTGAGTAAGGCAAATGGAGAGGAGCAAAAACCTATGGGGAGGAGACCAGGAAGATCATAAGACACAGAGAAGGGATGTGGTCCCAAAATGAATGCCTAGGTTTCCTGCAGCGTTCCTATTCCCATTTCTACAGGTGCGTTTCACAGCAAAACACTCTTCTCAAGGTATCAGTGAGACCCTGGTCCCTTAGCTAAGTCCCGAAAGGGCTTACCTAAATCACCAGGCTAAAACCCACTGGAAAGGACTCAACAATTTGGGTTGGTTTGGATTTTCCAAGGGCATTTTTAAATTCATTCACTTCGTGCAATGAACTTTTATACAAAAAGGCATATGATGAATTATTCTGTATAATTTACATTTTAATATCACCGATGTTCTTATTTCTTCATTCTGATTGGCCTTCATTTAATAAGAAGGCGTGAATGAGAATTATTACATGCTTGCTCCCTTTTCCCTTCACATTGTTGGTAGAACACCGATTCCACTACCCAGTGGTTTTCTGTGTACATGCAGTCGCCTTTCTAGATGTGATTCCTGGATGGCAGGGGCAAGCCTTTTCTGCTCAGTCTCCCTAATATTCAGATCAGGGCAGATTCAGGGTAGCAACTTGGTAACTATTTGCTAAATAAAGTATGTATGAGTATCCAATTATGCAAATTCCAAGACACTGTCAGAGTTCTTTTATTATTATTATTTTTAAAGTATATTTTATTCATATTTCACGGAGAGGAGGAAGGGAGAGGGATAGAGAGCTAGAAACGTCAATGAGAGAGAAACATCGACCAGCTGCCTCTTGCACACCCCCTACTGGGGATATGCCCGCAACCAATGTACATGCCCTTGACCGGAATCGAACCTGGGACCCTTCAGTCTGCAGACCAATGCTCTACCACTGAGCCAAACCAGCTTCGGCTAGAGTTCTTTTTTTAAATATATACTATAATTCAGTGGAATGGCCATGGCCTATTTTGCAAAGGTATATATGCCCTTTCTCCCCAAACAACCATTCCCCTAAAAAAAACCCCACCTTTTTCTTGACTGTTAAAATAAGTGAATCTCTAAACAGTGGCTAACCATCCTCACACTGGATTGAGGAGCCTCTCTGGCCAATGTTGCTGGACAAATGCTGGCCAGACAACTGGCCACCCTTCCAGCCTTCTAAAGTAACCTGCTTGCAGGGCTGCCTCAGGCCAGGGGCTAGTTCACTGCCCACCCAGGAGGCCATGAAAAACTCGAGATGTCTGGAGAGCCACGGCTCCAAGCCAGGTCCACTCACCCTAGCACAGTCAGTCAGTCATCAGGACCACAAACTTCCCGGAAGGTCTTTTGTCTGCTGTGCCTCAGTGGATGTCTGGGCCTACATATTCATTCTCTGTCTCCTCCCCCCCCCCCCCCCCCAGTCCTATTCTCCCTGCAGTCCTTATTTCTTCCAAGCTTCTTTTTTCTGTTTGTTTCGGTCTGTCTATTCCTTATATTAGGGTATTTTATCAAGTGTCAGGTGACTATTTTTGGTACACTTTTTTCTTAAACTTTTCTTTTTAAATAGTGTGTAGCCCTGGCCAGTGTGGTTTGGCTGGAGTGTTGTCCCAGACACCAAAAGATCATGGGTTCAATTCCTGGGCACATACCCAGATTGCAGGCTTGCTTCTCAGAGTGCGTATAAGAGGCAACTGACCAATGTTTCTCTCTTTCATATCTCTCTCTCTCTCTCTCTCTCTCTCTCTCTCTCTCTCTCTCTCTCTCCCCCCTCTTCCCTCTTCCCTCTTCCCTCCCTTCCTTTCATTCTGTCTAGAAATTAATGGAAAAAAATATCCTTGGGTGAGGATTAACCAAAAAATAAAAATAAAAATAAATAAAATACAGCCAAAGTACACAAGAGATATACGTACAGATCAGTGAACATATTGCAAAGCACGTGCCTACTTTACCTAGCCAGACCCTATTCATTCTTCAAGTCTCAAGTTAAACAGCATTTCCTTTCAAAGCCAGGCACCACCCTCTGGGTTGGGTCCCCTTGCTGTAGCTCTGCACCCAGCATGCATCCCTGTCCTCTTTCCCAGCACTCAGTGCACTTACAATCCATGGTCACTGCTTCTTACTAACTGTGCTCTCCATGGAGTCACAGACAGTGCCAGCCTTATTCACTGCTGTTTCCTCTCCCCAAGCACAGAGCCCAGCACATAGTAAGTGCTGAATAAATATTTGAATGAACGGAGGAAAGCAAGTAAGAGAGAAAAATTTGTGTCCTGTATTCAAGGAACTCACTGTATTTTAGGAACTCACTATCCAAAAAATGGATAATTGTAGTATATTGTGATAATTACTAAGGGGAACTCAGGAGACGTGGCAGCCCAAAGAACTTTCAGTCCTCTGAGCTAGAGTTTGCTTTCTTGTATTTTGCTTTTTAGCTAAGCTTTGACATACAAATAAGAATGTATTTTCTAGGGAAAGTGTACCTTAAGGGATCAAGTATCTAAGTAGCAGATAGAGGTGTGTGAAAGCAGCTTAGCAGGCTCATGCTGGACGGTGCTCAGGATGAGAGGGGATAGGCCTGGAAAGGAAGGTAGGATTGAGGAGCCCCCTCACCAGCAGCCCAACCTGGCTGGGATTCAGACCGTGTGGACCAAGTCCCAGGCCTGTCCTACTTTGATTATGTCTGCCACCCTAGGAGGACTTGGGCCTGAGCCACACCATCCTGGAATTGCTACAAGTCCCATCCCTCAGTCTGCTGTTTACTGACCCTGCAAGCATCTCCTCAAACTCTCCTGGGCAGTTAGAATGTTGAAGGGACAGTCAGTGCAGTGAAAGGGCAGAAACATGAACTTTGGAGTCGGGGCTCCAGGTCAGAGTCCCAGCTCTGCCTCTTTTTTTTTTCTTTTTTTTTATAATATATTTTATTGATTTTTTTACAGAGAGGAAGGGTAAGGGATAGAGAGTTAGAAACATCAGTGAGAGAGAAACATCGATCAGCTGCCTCCTGCACACCCCCTACTAAGGATGCGCCCGCAACCAAGGCACATGCCCTTGACCGGAATCGAACCTGGGACCCTTGAGTTCGAACCTGGGACCCTTGAGTCCGCAGGCCAACGCTCTATCCACTGAGCCAAACCGGTTAGGGCCCAGCTCTGCCTCTTGGTAGTTGTAAGACCTTGAACCTTTCTTTATCTTTGAACCCATTTCCTCATCTGCAAAATGAGATAATAGGAGTTGTGAGCATTAAATGTGAAAAGTGATCTACACACATATTAAGATCCAGATTCAGTGTTTCTGAGATGCAGTAAAGGGTTAAAAGGCACTTTTAAAACAAACCCCCCAAAAGTATAAACTGTTACACTGATTTATTATCCTTGGTCTTTGTTTCCTGGTTGGTAAAGTACAGGGCCCAGGACCCATTGCTTAGTTCAGGCCAGTTTCCTGTTATAATGGCAAATATTACCACCCGGCAGGGGTTGTGAATGAGGTCCCTGTCACAGAGCACATGGCCTTGTTCCTTAATTGCCAGGGTGGAATTAATTTGCTCTTCCTGTTTCTCTTGTGACAGGAAGTAGATGTCCTTGAGTTTCAGTTGATTAATGGAAGCCTCTGAGCAGAGTGCTTCAGCCTCTCTTGTTTTTAATTCTTATGCGTTGCAAGGCCCTAATTTGATAATTTTGCTGTTTTTTTAGATGGATCACCTACTGGTTGAAAATATTGAGCGGGAAACGTTTCATCTCTGCTCCCGCCTCATTAATGGGCCCTACCGGCGGACGGTGAGAGCCCTGGTCTTCACATTAAAGCACCGAGCTGAAATCCGGGCTCAGGTGAAGAGCGGCTCGCTGCCCGTCGGCGTGTTTGTGCAGACCCACAGAAAATGACCCGAGGACGGCTCCAGCCCGGGCTGGGCAGAACAGAAAACGTGCCCCTCTCTGCTATTCAAAGACCCTTTTGAGTTTGGGTGATGGCTGATGCTGGCTGCGCTAAATTTTCCCATGGTGCCATTCCTTCAGACAGAGGATGCAGAGCGCCCTGGGAGACAGGCCTGCAGGAAACGCTTCATTAGCTGCCGTGCGCCGGTGCTGCCTAACGGGACGCGCACAGGCTGTCACTAGGAAGCGCTGTACGGTTGCCATCACCCAACCCAGCAAAGGGTGGTGGATTTCACTGTGAGTATGCCAGGGACACCTCTAAACTTCCCCCATGTCAGGCAGATGAAGTCGCTACTTTATTTCGCCACCCTGCAGGTAACTGAAACTCAATTACTGCTGCCGCTCACACGGTTCCATCCCCCTGAGTTTAGATGGCTCTGGTGCCTCTCAGAACTCCCCTGTCTGTTCTCTTTGCTCTACCCCAGGGGTGAGCCTGCCGGAGCCAGCCCACTGCCCCTTCTTTCCAGAGCTCACTTATCTGAATGTTTCAGCTCTCCCTGGAAGACCTTCTGTGTTGGTCTTCGGAGCCCCCATGCTGAGTCTCCTAATGAAGAGCTGGCCTGGAGCATCCCCACACTCAGGCTATTTGAATATGTGACACTCTCATTTTAAGGTTCTGTAGAAGATACATAATGAAATTCCTCTTGAAATGAATTACTGTAGTGAAAAAAATCCATCCCTATATATTTTAAAATAAAATACCTTTATATAGACCTCTTGAAACAATTATGTAAATGATATTTGCTTTTTTATAAATAATAATAAACTGGGACTTTCCCCCCCACTAAAACAAAAGATATGGCTTGTTCATTGAAAAGTGTTTTGGGTTGAGAAAAAGTATAGTTGATGAAAATGAAAAATAATTGCAAAGAATTTAAAGAAATAGTAAGACTCGAGAAAGGGTTTTTGAGGTTAGGGGAGACTGGAGCATGTTTGTAATCTAAAAAGAAGGAGCTAATAAAAAAAAGGAGAGATTTAAAATACAAAAAAAGAGGGGATGGGTTAAAAAGCAAGGACAGAAAGGAAGGGATTAATGTGGCCTGTTTAATCCTCTCATCTGTTGTGTTAGTAGATATTGTTTCAATTTTTTTATATTTCTTCATTTATTCAGCAATCATTTATTGAGCACCCATTCCACGGAGTACTGTGGATACCTAGCAGGAACTGAGATGAGACCCTGAGGCTCACCAGGCAGAGGTATCTTGTTCCATTTCCCACTGCTAGGAAGTACTGAAGCTGGAATCATAATTAAGCACCCACCAGGCACTCAGCACTGTGATAGACATTTTAATAATAATATGCAATTAAAGATCAGAAAAGTGAGTCCCAGAATGGCTTAGTAACTTACTCAGGATCACACAGATAGTGAAAGGCAGAGCTAAGGTTCAAAACCCTGGTCTGTTTGATTGGCTCCAGTCTCCCAGGTTCATTCATTCACTCTCTTATGGTTACATGCAGATGACACTCCAATTTGTATCTTCAGACAGTACATAGTCCCTCAGTTTCAGATACATCATCCAAGATGCCTCGTGGGCTTCTCAGCTGTAACATGTCTTTTCTCACTTGGCAGTCCTGGTAGCCCAGGCATTCTTGCCAGAAGCCAGAGTCCTTACTCAACCAGGGCCTAATGGTTTTACTCATCACATATATTTATTGTAGAATCTCTTGCCTCCTCTCCATCTCTAGTACCACTTTAGGGCTTCATCCTCTGTTGCCCACATGGCTACATGGCTTCCTAGCTGGTCCCTTTGCACCCAGTTCTAACCTCTTCAAATTTATCACCCTGTCCTAGAAACAAAGTGACATATCAGAACTGGAAATCTCATCATGTCACTCCCGTCAAAGCATTCACATGCTATTTTCTTCTCTAATATGCTACTCTCTACCTAGTTCCCTATGCTTCCCCTACCACAATATCCTATGTATTGTTCTATACATATCCACATGTTCTGTGGTTGTGCTTTTGATTCTATCTCCCCACTAAAGGTAATGCGAGCTCATGGACACAACAATATAGTGGTTACCGAAGGTGGAGGGAGGGTTGGGGGGAAGAAAAAGAAGATAAAGGGGTCAAATGCATGGTGATGGGAGCAGACTAGATGTTGGCTGGTAAGCACACAATGCAGTATACAGATGACATATTAAAGAATTGTACACCTGCAACTTATAGAATGTTAGTAACCAGTGTTATCACAATAAATTTCATTGAATTTAAGCTTCATGAAAGCAGAGACTTTGTTTTGTTCCCTATTGTATTTTCAGCACCTGGTACCAACTAGGTCTTCATAACTATTGAATAATTGAATGATTACTTGTGTTGTACAGGAAAGGCATCTAATCCAATCAGGTAATACTTCCTGGAGGTGGTGATACCTGTGTGCAGTCTTAAAGGGTAGAAGTAGTTAATTGGGTGGTTGAGGCATATGCCTGACTGAGAAAGCAAACTATGGAAAGACTCAGACCTGTGAAATATCTGGAAGGTGATTGGTGTGGCTTGAGTAGAGGAAAGCAGGGTGAAAAGTAGATGGAAATGAGGCCGTAGAGGAAGGCAATTATCAGGACCAGATATGAAGGGTCCTGAACAACAAGTGAAGGCATATGGACTGATTCTAAGCAGGAGCTGGTTAATATTTGTTAACAGGCTGTGGAAGAAGAAGCTGGAGCAGGGAGAGAGACTGGGAGTCGGAAACTTCATTTATAAGCAACCAAGAAGTTCTGCTAACTTAAGGACCCAGAGTAAGTTGAAAACAAATTGCTCTGTGGCTGAAAGGTTTCAGTGGTGATGGTTAGAAAGTAAGATGATTGCAGAGATGTGCTTTGGAGATTTGGAAAGTAGACCGTGTTATTTGTGGCTGTGTTTTCCTTGATGCATGCACAGAATTTCCATGAACACTAATGGAGCTATTCTGAGTGCTTGCTGAAGGAAAGGAGGCTTGCAGATACCCATCTAAGCTGACCCACCCACTAAGAAGCACCTCGGAGCTCCAGCCTGTTATAAGGGAAATGTTCAGCTCCTGCAATGGGGTGGAAAAGTTCTTAGACTTCTGAGTTACCTGTAAATCTAGATATGAATATGTCTCCTAAATGTGTTTGGTTGCTATAGGAAGTTTGGGAAATTAAATACTGTTAGAGTCTGCTTCAGCAGCTTATTGATCTTTTTTTTTTTCTTTTTTTTAAAAGATATTTTATTGATTTTGTACAGAGAGGAAGGGAGAGATATAGAGAGTTAGAAACATCAATGAGAGAGAGTCATCGATCAGCTGCCTCTTGCACACCCCCTACTGGGGATATGCCCGCAACCAAGGTACATACCCTTCACCGCAATCGAACCCGGGACCCTTCAGTCTCCAAGCCGATGCTCTAACCAAACAGGTTTCAGCTGATCCTTTTCTTGTAGTGGTTAAATCGGAGATCCTGGTCCTTCGAGTAGGAACTGAGTCTCAATTTTCATTCATCCATTCATCCAACAAACTAATGTTGCCTATCTTATGTGAGCCAAGGACTAGACTGGCACTAGAGAAACTGCAGTAGATATCATTTCTACCCTTGAGGAGCCCTTAGTCTAGTGGGGAGACAGACACATAAGTAAATAAGTACAGTACAGCATACTAGGTGTTTATTGTAGATACTGATTTAAAATGTTGAGAAAGTGGAGAAAGGAGTGATTAATACCATTCTAAGAAAAGATAAAGTCTTCAGAGAGTTAATGTTTGAATCAAGTCTTGGAGGATAGATAGTTCTTAGATCAGTATGTGTACAGAAGCCCAGAGGTTGAAAGTGTATGCCTTGTGTCAGTAAAGGCAAATGAAAAGGAGTGTGGAGGCATAGAGTTTTTAGGCAAGGTGGAGAGAAACGGGGCAAAACAATTAGTCAGGGCCTCAGAGGCCTCGTGAGGAAGTTTGGACTCTGGCCTGCAGGTAATGAGAGGCTCTGGGAAGTTTTTGAGGAGGTGAGGGAACTAATAAAACGTGCATTTAGAAAGATAGAAACATTCTTACATAAACAGATACTTCAGAAAATTTTTCAAAATTTAAAACTCCCAACAATTTATAGCAAAGGAAAGGAACACTCAAGATTGTGTAAATTAGATCATTCTTTTTTACTTTTGACAAATGCAGTTTAGAGTTGACCAAACAGATACCATTAGAGAGTCCCAGGTTTGAAAAATGGCAGGAAGCTCAGATAATGCATTTACTATGTTCAGTGGTGAAGGAACAGGCAGCCGGCCTTTTCTCATTTAAAGAATATCAGGTTCTTACACTTGTGCCTGTCAACCTTGGTTTTCTTTTGCTGCAGCCTCAGGCCTCCGAGCCTCATTCTGAGATTTGTAATGTGTTTTGGATGTGTTTATCACAGCCATATGGGACAGAGGCTCAGTTTGTTACTGCCCCTTATTGCTACCAAAGGGAGTCCACCCAGAGAACAAGGCTTTGGGAGCTCTGTTAGTTCAGTGGCACTGCTTTGATTTCAAAAGCCCGATGGTTTCACTGGATGACATTGTATTTTCTTTTAAATCAACCAAAGTGATATAATTGCTGTCAGGGATAGGCTTACCCATAAGCTAAGGAGGTTAGTTTCAAGATTCAAGAAGACCAGGATGTCCAATCAAATGCTGCTCTTTCTTCTTGTTAAAATCACTCATTCAGTGCGTATTTGAGTTCTTACGGGCCAGATCCAAGGGTCACAGGAATAAGTAAGACAGTCTCTGGCCCTAAGAAGTTCGAAGTCTAGTGAAGGTGAGTGCCAAGGTCTAGATAAACAATTTAAAAAGGCTAATGCTATGAATTATGGGAGTTCAAAGAAAAGGAAATAAGTCAATAAATATGTTAGAAGATGCCCAGCCTCATTAGTAATCGGGGAATGGCAAAGATAAATGTCATCTTTAAAGACCTAAAGGATGCAGCGATAGTGATCACCATTATGTCTCTCTCTAATTCACTGCTCTGACCCCTACAAAATCAGAAGGATCCTGGAAGATGGCGGTGAATTATAGCAAAATCAACCAAGTGGTAGTTCTAATTGCAGCCACTGTGCCAGTTGTGGCATCTTTCTTGGAGCACATTAACATGTTCTCAGGTACATGGTATGTAGCCACTGATCTGGTCAATGTTTGTCTTTTCCTTCCCTGTCAGAAAGGAAAGTCAGACTTCATATTTGCTTGGAACAGACAAAAATATACAATTGTAGTCTTGCCCCAGGGCTGTTAACTCTCCCACTCTCACAGACTAGTCTGAAAAGACCTGTACCACCTACACATGTTACAGAATATCACACTGATCACTACATTGAAGACATGAGCTCACTGGGCCAGATAAGCAAGAAACAACGAATACATTGGAAGTCTCAGTGAGACGCAGGCATTGAAGAGAGTGTAAGAACACACTGAAGATGCAGGGGCCTCAAATATCAGTGAAGCTTTTAGGGGCCAGTGGTCTGGGATATGCCAGGGACATTCCCTCCAAAGTAAAAGACAAGTGATTGCATCTCCCACGCCCCCAGTAAGGTAGGCCCCTTTGGGTCTGGAGGGAGCATTTTCACACCCGGGAATACTGCTCGATCCTGTATTGTGGATGACAAGGCTGCCAGTTTTGCTGGGCACCCCGATCAGGAAAGGGCTTGGCAGCAGGGCCAGACTGTAGTACAAGTAACCATGCTGTGTGGACCATATGATCTGGCAGAATCCAGGGTATTGAGGTGTCTGCGGTGGGAAACGATGCCTGTGGAGTTTATGACAAGGCCTAGGAGGAGGATCACTATGTGGACCTCTAGGGTTCTGGAGCAGGGCCATGCCATCTGCAGCCAGGAATGACACACCTCTCACAACACAGCTCCTGATTTGCTATAAGGTTCTGGAAAAGACAGATCATGGGAGCTTAGATCATCAAGTTGATCATGCAGACACAGCTGCTCATCATGAGCTGGATTCTACCAGGACCACCCTCCACTCCCAGTCAGAAAGTCAGAAAGCCCAGCAGCAATTCATCCTAAGTTGGACAGGGCACAACTGACATTGGGCACAGCAGCGCCAAAGGGCAGAAGGTGCATGAGTACGTGGCTCAGACATCTATATCACCCACCACCTTTGCACCAGTGCCCCCTTCCTCAGCTCGGCTATGGCTGCCTGAGAAGCTTCTTATATCCAGCTTGAGTGAAAAGAACCAAGCTTTGTTAGCAGGTAAATGGCTCAGTATGAATGAGCAAGCCAGAAATAGACTGTGGCTGCACTGCAGTCCCACACAGGGGTGTCCTTGAAAGACAGCAGAGGGGGAAACCTTTCCAATGGGCAGAGCTTTGAATAGTGCTCTTTCTGTGGAAAGGAAGAGGGCCCAAGGTTAGAATATACACGGATCTCCTGGGCAGTGGTGAATAGCTTGTCTGCTTGGGCCTGGAAGGAATACGATTAGAAAATCGGGGGCAAGGACTCTGTGTAGGGTATGTGGTTGGACCTGTGAGCTTGGACATCGAATGTGAAGGTCATTATATTCCATGTTAACACCCACCAGGCTGTGTACCATGGAGTAAGCACTACCTAGCCATGTATATGCAGTTAACATCAGCCAGCCTCTATCTAAGGACAGCCCAGGCTGGTACACGGATGCATAAACAGTAACCATGGTAGCATACAAAGAGGGTATATGTGGGGGCTATAATATGGGCTCACACTCACTCACCAAGACATGTAGTTACTGCTGGTGCTGAGTGTTGAGCCTGCCAGTTTACAGACACCAACTCAGTCTCAGATACATCTTTGTCCCTTGAGGAGAACAAGCAGCCATTTGACAAGTTGATTATATTAAACCCTTTCCACCCTGGAAAAAGCTGCAATTCATTTTCACCGGAGTAGACATAGTCTGGATATTGCTTTGTTTGTAGGGCTTTATCCAGCACAACTCTCTAAGGGTTCACAGACTGTTTGACCTGCTGCCTTGGGATCACGTATGAGCACAGCAAGGGAGGCGAAGCAGTGGATGCAGGCCATGAGTCCACTTGCCCTTTCATGCGCTGCACTGTCTCAAGCTCCAGTTTGGAACTGTCTCTTGAAGACATAGTGAGGCACCAGCTCAGAAACCGGGAGAATAGGGGGCCATTGCAGAGAATGGATGGAGTGGCGGGGAGCTGATGGGGGGGATGGGGATGGGGAATGGTAGCCAGGAGAGATTCACTCTCTCATAACATGATTTTTTAAAGTAAACTTTTACTTTGGAATAATTTTAG